CAGGCCACGTTATATAAGAAAATTTTTTTTCCGGGTCGATCTGAGACAATTTTTTTTCGGGCCTCAAAAAAAAGGCAGTGTACAACCTTCCTTTTTTACCAAAAATCGACTGCACTGAAATTTCTCGGGAAAACACTTTTTCTTAATAATAATAATAATAATAATAATAATAATAATATATATTCAGGCTAACATACATGGAGTACTTACACATCGTCAAAAATATCACAGTCACTTATCTAAACAAATGTTTAGAAGTATCACAGGTAAAATCAAAAGTTAAACATTCTTGATAGCTATAGAAGCATTGGTTACTTAAAAATGTTTTTATTTTATTCTTAAATTCTGTTGTGTCTATGTGTCTTAGGTGCGCAGGGATGCAATTAAAAAATATTTGAGATTGTATTCTAGGACCTTTTTAAGTTTTGCAGAGTCGACCGAAGTTTACTCGTACGTCCTCTTTGTGCCTCGTGTTGTGGTGATGTATTTGAGAGTTTGTTGTAAATGAGTGGAAATTCTTCTTTGCGTAGCACAAACACTCAAGGATGTAGGCACACGGCAGAGTTAATATATTTAGATGTTTGAATGCTTTGCGACAGTCTTCACGGTACCCCAAACCCGCAATTATGCGCACAGCTCTTCTCTGAATTCTAAATACCGCATTGCGTTTCCCTGAATTACCCCACACTATGATTGCATAAGTCATAACACTATGAATATTAGAGCATAATATGCGTTAATTAGCACTTTCTGAGACACATTTTCTGCTAACGTTCGTAGAAGGTAGGTGGCTTTATTCATTCGAGTTACCAAGGTAGAGCAGTGATCACTAAAATTTAACTGGCTATCCACGGTACAACCTAGGAAAGTCACACTTTTGATAGTATTGTCCGTATTCGCGCTTTTTAAGGACATGGTCATGGTTTCAGTTTTATTTACATTTAGGGCTAATTTGTTGGAGTTACACCATTCTTTGATACTATTTATAGCTAGCTGTAGTTGGTCATCAGTTTGTAAGTCTATGTCACCACGAGGGTTTAAGAGTGTGGTATCGTCAGCATATAATATGCAATGAATATTTTCCCTTACATTAAATGGCAAGTCGTTTATATATATTAGGAAGAGCAGAGGCCCTAATATAGATCCTTGGGGCACTCCTGTATCGATGGGTAAGTACTTTGACCTCAGTTGGTTATGTAGAACACATTGCGACCTATTTTGCAAGTATGATTTGATAAGTGAAATACTTGAGGTATTAAACTTATAACATATGCTCAGTTTCTTCAGAAGAATTTCGCTTGAAACGCAGTCAAAAGCTTTCGACAAATCCAGGAAAGCTGCGGACATGGAATCTCCGGATTCAAAAGAGTCGAGCGTTTTGTTAATTAAGAACGTTAGTGCGTCTGTTGTGCTTCTTTTCTTTCGAAACCCATATTGTAAGTTATGAAATAAATTATTGTTTTCAAAATAATCACTGATTTGTCGATAAATAATCTTTTCAATAACTTTTGAAAATACTGGGAGTAAAGAAATTGGCCGATAGTTATCCAATTCTTTTCTATCTCCTTTCTTATGTACAGGGATAACAAGCGCTATCTTCAGTTCGTCTGGGAAAACTCCGGATTTGAGTATGGAATTAGTTACTGTGGTCAGGGGATCGACCAGAACGTTAATATTTCTCTTCACTATTTTAGTACACATTCCATAGACATCTTTAGTATTACTATTCTTAAGTGAAGCAACAATATCTCTTATTTGAATTTGCGTAACGCATTTAAAAGTAAAGCAATCCTGAGACTTAATATTTACTGTCTTAAACATTAAGGGATTGATATCAGTTGCTGGAAGATTTAGTTGAGTACGTTTAGATACGCTGGTAAAATGTGTATTAAAGTCATCTGCAGAAATATCAGTCTTTGTGTCTTTCCGTGAATTTTTGTAGGAATTTATTATGTTCCACATTGCTCTAATAGAGTTTCCGGAATTCCTAATCACTTGATCATTAGCTTGAATTTTAGCTCGCTTTAATTCCTGTCTGTAACTGCATCTCAATTTTTTTAACAGATTCCCCAATTCAGTTGAATTACATTGCATGTACATTTGCCTTACCATCTGCATGGAGTCCCTTAGTTGTTTTAAGTGGCTATTAAACCATTTAACTTTATTATCACCGAGCCTCGTTTTTATAGTGCTCTCAGGAAATGACTTCAAAAATGCATTATGAAGTGTACCAAAAAATGACGAGAACTTCATTGCTGGATTAACGAATTCATTTTTTAAAAAGTCCCAGTCGTGGGTGCACAATAAATTGTAAAAGACGTTGAGCCCTCTTAGCGTAAGAGGACGTGATATTATCACTTCATACGATTGTTTATGTAAGTTAGAATCATGGTTAAAATTTATTGACTGGCCTAGATGATCTGAGAGGCCAGTTTGGAATAACACTACTAATATGATCATTTATGGCAAAATTAATGAAGATGTTATCAAGACAATATTTACCTCGGGTAGGTGTGAGTATGGTTTGATGAAAGCCATAAGATCCGAACATGTTGCAAACTTCACGAGAATTCGCACAGGTTTCGCCAAAGTGTACATTGAAGTCACCCGCGATTAGAGTACGATGGTGCTTTGACAGCCTCTCAAGGACCAGTTGCAATTGGTCCAAGAAGATATTGATATCACCCTGGGGCGAGCGGTATAAGACCATAACGATGATGTTCATGTTGCATTTAATAGCCGCTACCTCGAAGTGCAGATCAATCGCTAGTTCATTGATATTTTGCATGGGAGTTACGTGAGTCTTCTTCTTGCACAGTATAAGCACACCCCCGTGCGTTAATTTGGTTCTTGGCTATTGGGCAGTTGCTCCACTCTCTCATGTGTACCTAGTTGTGTACGCTGTAAGTAAATTGGCGTCGGTGATCCAATGTTCACTAATGGAACAGCTACAAAACCAGGTTATCTCTATCGTAGTGAAAAAAGCTTCCAGCTCATTCCTTTGGTTCCCCGATAAAGGCATTGCATATTCAGATTTTGGTGCGTAGGAATCCTAAGACAATTTCGTACTTATGTGTTCGCCCTCAATCAAGAGGTTATAGACTAGAAACAGTGGCAATTTTCGAAAGTACACTAGAGTGCTCTAAAATGGGCTGTAAGGACTATTGTGAACTGAGTGGAGCTCCAGATCTTGGAACTTGTTTTAAATATTTCTATGGATTCACGCACCAGGGCCAGGTTCTATAGAACAATTGTTCTTTTTTCGCCGGTTCGATCTGATACAAAATTTTTTCTTGTGTTGATCAGGGGGAAGGCAGTCAACAACAAAAGGCAAGGCAATGTTCGGTACTCCTCGTTTTGGTACGCAGTTAAAGAAGATCTGAGCTAGGTCAGACCAAAAGTGTTCCTCGGGAAAACCGAATTTTTTTGGTGTTGTAGACTTAAGATAATAAAATGTAGGTAGCCGCACTGCATCCAGTGGTTTCTGATTTTTCTGAAAGTTAAGGAGGGAGGTGGAGGGATAGGTGGGCGAAAAACGTTTGCGACCTGAAGAGCTTTTTAAATACACTAATTTTATTTAAACAAATATATTACATCGACCATTCTTAATCATTATTGCTCATATCGCACATCTCTATACCAATATACGGGCCACATTATTCGCGTCTTCGAACTATACGCTGCGGGTCCTGAATGACTCGGACGCGAATAAGGGCCATCGCGTGTAATTCAAATGGTTCCCGCCATTTTCATCATTACCAAATTACTGACTCTAACGAAGGATGCAGGACCGCGGTTGTAGACTAGATTCGCTATTACGCAGCAAGACGCAGTTTTGAGACATGCGTCTTTGCGCTGTTTCGAGATGAGAAAGCTTAAAAAGATAACCGAAATTTTTAGTGTGGACGCATAGTGAGTATTGCGAAGGATGTCGATGTGACGAAGTTGTAATAGTTGTTTAGTTAGCACGTCGGGCATTGCAGCTAGGGGCGGTAAATTGAGAATATCGGGCGGGTAGCAGGGTTCAAGTATGGAGCCTACGTTTTTACAAAGTTGGTAATATTTTGCGTCGCAACATGCTGCGCAACCACTGCAAGCTAGTTTAAGTACGACATCGATTGGTCGATTAAAGATAGATTCTATGCTTTATTAGATATCTACTGAGGATAAGGTTATTATACGGTCACAGTTCGGGAAAGTACATGTAGCTGCGGGAGTCCAGATAGCGTTTAATTAGTATGAGCTGACAAGAGTCCTCCCAAATAAATGTATCAATTCAAAAAAATTCTATGCCAATCTCAGAATTTGTTTAAGCAGAAAGAGGTGTGGTATGTGGGGGGTGTTTCAAAAATTAAAGTTTCGCTTGTTGAATATTGTCTTTGGTCGATCAGTTTAACGCAGCTCGACACGGCCACCCCTTTTAATGTCAGGTCCAAATATTAACTTCTGGGCGAGGTTTCAGATTGAAACGTATGACGTATCCTTATTAGCTATTCGGCCCAGACCGATTTAAAAACAAATATTTGATTACTAACAATGTACACTTTAATTTTTTTGGTGCATTATCCGTAAGCGCCAAGAGCTGATGTCCGTAAATGTGTATACAATATGTCAAAAAAGTTCTAGTCAAGCCGTAAAATTGTGGTTTACCTAACCTAAGGAAAAGGTGGTATTTGGCTGTATGCAGGCAAATTAAAGGAGTGTTCACTTTTTGAAGATTTTATGGGTTGGAATGGGGTAAACAGCTGACGCCCGCCTAATTAAGGGGCTGTAAGTATTAACTGTGGCGAAAGTCAATTGCAACGTGGACGTCCTGAGTACTATTCCCCAACCGATTTAAAACACGACCGACCGAGATTTACGTGACAAGTGTTACACTTTATTTTTTTGCGAGTT